GGGTACCTAGCTGGAGATATCAGCTCTGACATTTGGCCTCTGCACATGGCCTGGACATCCTTCCAGCATGGCGGCTGGGATCCAAGGTAGAGTGTGCTGAAAGACAGAGCCAGGTGAGAGCCATCTCACCTTCAGCATTGTAATCGAGGAAGTCATACAGTGTCACTTCTGTGCACCCGGCTCACTGGAACAGTCACAAAGGCCATCAGTTCAGAGGAGAGGGAGAAAATACTCTGTCCAGTGGAGAAATGGGGAAATTATGGGAGAGCACTGGAATTAGAAATATAACTGTGGCCATCATTATAAAATATAATGTGTCAGCCTTTAAGGACCTACTTTTTCTCAAATCTATAAGATTGCCCATGTTTTACCTATTTTCCATGGGTCCAGCTGTGAAAAGAGCCCATATTTATTTCTTATAATGATTCCTAATTTCTGAAAAAGGCGCTCTAATGGCCTAGGGTGAGTCAGGTATTCACACCTGGCCAGATCAGCCATGACCTAGAGGTTGGGCCATGTGCAGGGGCACAAGGTCATGTTGTATTACAACTGTAACAGGGAGTGGGGGGACATTGGACTAGAAGGGAGGGCAGTTCTCTGAGAAGAAGGATTCACTTTAACTACCAAGGCAACCCAGAATGTGCCAAAGCACAAAGGTAGATTTTCCTTAAAAATGAAATGCCATGCACAAAGGCTACAAGCATAAAATAATGTGACCCAGAAAGTGTAAATATAAAAGGATGGTCAAAGTTGATCAGGCAAAAACAAACAAACAGAAAGGTGGGTTGGCGATGTAAGTATCAGATTAACAGGACTTAAAAGGGAAAGAAGGCATGAAATAGGACAGAAAGTATTACTTAATGTTGATAAAGGGTGCCAGCCCCATAGAAGACATAAGAATTGTGAGCCTTTTGTATTGATAATGCAGTTATGAAATACATGAAACTGATTCTATAACAAATACAAAGAAAAAAATGACAGGAGTGCAAGCATAGCAGGACACCTTAACACATCTCCTGCTGTGTTAAGACCCGCAAACACAAGTCTTTGACAGATTAAGTACCCCAAGAATAAATTTAGGATAGAGAGGAGCTGAATGATGTATTTCATTTGTCTGAATTAATAAATATATGTCAGTTTTGTATTCTACAAAAAGAGAACATACCTTTACTTCAAGAACTCACAAAACATTTACAAAAATTGATCGTGTATTAGCCCACAAAAGAAATCTCAACAAATTCCAAAAAGCAGAAACTGAACAGGCCCTGTTTTCTGACCACAAGGTGATAAAACAGAAAATTAATGGCAAAAGTTCAAACCAACAAATCCAAACACTTTGAAAGTTAGCAACACTTTACTCAGGAACTCTGGGTCAGAGAGAAAATCCAGGCTGCAATTACAGATCATTCTGGACACAACAACATTAAGAACATTCTGTATCCAGTGCTCATGGGATAGTGCCAGAGACAAATTTAGAGCAAAAGACCTTATATTAGCAGAAAAGAGTAGGAAAAAAAATGGACTAATGATTCAGACCCAGAAATTAGAAAACTATAACAAACCAAACCAAAGAAAATTAGGAGGCAGGGATGAACAAATTCAAAAGCACAAAGTAACAATGTGAAGACAACAAACACACAAAAATTGATATGTATAAGAGGCAGCTCTTTGAAAAAACAATAATACAAATAAACTGCTTAGCAACAAAGCATGAATGCAAGAAATTAAGAATAAGAAAGGGGGTATAATTTCATATATAGAGCTTTTTAGGGAATGTTACAGTTTTAAACTGATAAAGTTTAAAAGGTCCAGTGGATTTAAGAAAAAAGAAATTACAAATTTAATTTATAGTTAGAAAACTTGAGTAAATCAACGTGCAAGGAAAAAGTTGCCAAGCATGCAAAGCAGTATGTATAATGATTAAGGACGTGGGCTGTGGCACCAGCCTGCCTGGGTTTCATCTCCAAGTCACCTGTTGGACAAATTATTCTACACCTCCAACAGTCAGTTTCCTTACCTGTAAGTTGATGATACTATCTATGTCCCAAAGTTTTGTGCAAGAACAGAATCACAAGTCAACCTCCTACCACTGTATGACCTGGACTCCCCAAATAAGACACCAGACATATTTTTTATTACTTGTTTCCTTCAAACTTCCAAAGAACAGATATTTTACATGCTGCATTAATAGTTTCAAGGCATACAGAAAGATGGAACCCTATTCATCAGACTTTACAAAATCATTATCTTGATATAAAAAGCTGACATCTTAGCACAAAAAAAATACAAATTTTCTTTATGAATCCATATAGATTAAAAATATGTGCAAAAGGAACCCAGTGTTATAATGAAAGGATATGACACCAGAATCAAATAAGGTATTTCCCAGGGATAGGTGGGTGATTCAACGTGAGGAAATCTATCAATCCACTTTGTCGCATTGCCAGGTCACCAGCAGTGCATTGACTCAGAAATGTTGCTTTTAGTTATTTGCTTAAGGAAATGAGACATGACCAAAATCTGTGTTTAATGTTATTTGGTGCAACATTACTAAACTTTTAAACAACCTCAATACACAATAATAGGGGAGTTCTTAAGTACATATACTAAATAAACATATTATATTTGTTATCTATAGAAATACACAATAGATTGTTCAACAGAAAGGATGAGTGTAAAACCACCTAAAATATTTAAAAGAATATTCTAAAACATGAAAATATATTCAAGACATACTTCCCACTAAGTGTAAAGGAATTGAGTTAAAAATAGTATCTATAGTGTTCTTATATATGTAGAAACTATACATATTTATCTATATATGTATATGTACATATATGTATGAACATGTTTCCTCACATGTTTGTTATTTTGCATAAGTGTGATAATCAAATCACCACATTTTTCTCCATTTTAAGAGCTATAATCTAATTCTCACTCTTCTTAAAGTGAAAAATGCTACAGGTTATTCACAGCAATGTTAGAGAGAGAGAGAGAGAGAGTGTGTGTGTGTGTGTGTGTGTGTGCACAGGTGTGAACATACATACAGTGTTTTATAGGGGATGGGAAATAAAAGGAAATACAATGAAATGCCACTATGGAAATTATGACTCTATGAATGGAACATGAGAAGTAGTTATGTCTAGTTGATGCATTCTACCCTTCAACCTGGGTTCTCTCACTTCTTGGAATGGTCTCTTTGATGCTGCTATATTGGCTAAAAAGAAATAAACCAAAATAACAACAACTACAAACCATGAAACTAGTTTTCTCCTTTCCTCTGGAGTATAAGCAGAATAATCTCTTCTTTATCTCCCTTGTTAGATTCTCTCTCTTTGCTTACATCCAGATCCAGTATAGAATTGATTCAACCTTGGGCAAATGCTTTTTTCCCCTGGATATAACTTAATATTCTGTCTTAGGAAAGAAGAATATCTTCATTTAAGAAACTCTGGCTTGCTTCCCAAACTCACACCCCACTGGATTGTGTCTATGGCTATTTAAAGTGTGTGTTCTGACCCGGTGGAATGATGTAATGATTCCATGGATATGGAAAATTTTGTCTGTTAGGAGCAAACAAGATGATTTGTCTTAGAAATGACCAGAGATTAGAGCTAAGAGAAATCTAAACAAGAAGATATATTGTGGGTCTGGGTAGAGGAGATGGCTATAAGAACAGTATTTGGGGACTCATTAAATATGGAGGATGAAGGGAGGGGAATGGTGAACAATAGCCAAAGTTTTGCATTCCAAGCTCATGGAATAATAAAACATTTTTCTTCAATGTTCATAGACTGAAGCTTGAACATTGAAGAAAAAAATGAAGATCTCACTTTGGGCTTTAATAGCTTGGGCTAAGGGCAGGAATTTCAATCGGACATCAATAAGCATTTTAAAATCTAACTCCACAGACCAGATGGACATCAAGTTAGAAATGCAGATTTGAGAACTATCAGTTTGGGCAAGAAGGTAGAGCCCAAGTCTTTGAGAAGATAACTGAACCTTATGAAGCACTGGTGTTTAGAGAATAGAAGAGGAAAGGGGATCTAGTGAAGGAGCTGGAGAAAGAGTAGCCAGAGGATATAATGCCCACGGTAGGAAAGATGGTTTCAATAATAAGACATAAGGAAATAAAAACAGATCTAGCCCTAAAACAATCGCAGAGCTATAATTCATTGTTTTTTTTTAAAGATTTTATTAAAAAATAAAATTTTTAGAGAAAGGGGAAGGGAGGGAGAAAAAGAGGAAGAAAAACATCAATGTGCAGCTGCCTCCTGCATGCCCCCAACTGGGGACCTGGTCTGCAACCAAGGTATGTGCCCTGACTGGGAATCGAACTGGTGAGCCTTTGGTTCACAGGCCAGTGCTCAATCCACTGAGCCACATCAGCCTGAGCTATAATCTATGGTTTAGATAAACTAAAGCAAAGACCTCATGTCTCCTCTTCCTCTGGTTTTAACTGAAATTAGATGCTTGTACATTTGGTAAACAAAAATGTGATGTTGACTTTAAGCAATAATGTCTCTGATGTTGGAGTGATCCTCCACCATGGAAGAAAAGAAGCAAGGCCCTTTCTTAACCCATTTTCACTTGCAACCTTTCATTTGGACTCTGGACTTTGGCTACTATGACTCTATTAATTTTGTGTCATGTTCAGTCCACATGGACTTTTGCATTATTAATTAAAATACATGTTTATTTTTTAAGTATCAGGCTATGTCATTTATAGGTAGGACACAACCTAGAACCCAGAACTCCTCACCCCAGGCAGCGGACAGTTCATGTCACCTTTTAGCATCTCAGGACACACCCAGACACCCAGAGACCTGGGACAAATCAAAGCCTCCTAAGATGTAAGCACCTCAGGTTAGGGTGTCTTCTTCCTGGCTAACCACACCCGAATAACCCCTCCCTAAAGAGGGACCCCTCTGCTGCTGTGTTGGAGAGACAATGGACTGCCTGAACCTCTTCTTTAAAACTTTCTTTTCTATGATTTTCAGGTGATCGTCAGTATAACCATCCGATTTTAAGCAGTGCTACCCAGACCCCTACCCATGGTGAGAGATGACTCTGCATTCCGGCCTCATTCCAGGTGGCTCCACTCTAACTACAGCGGCCTAAACAGGCATCAGAACTATGGGCACTGACTCACGAAGCTAAGGAGGTGTAAGGAGTCAGGTGTCCACCTTCCCTTAGGGCCACGGTACCTCACTCTCATATGTACTGTTGTTCCCTTAGTGTCCTGTCTCTGATGTGAGAGTGGTCTTCCACCATGGAAGAAAAGAAGTGAGGCTCTTTCTTAACCCATTTTCACTTGCAACCTAGATCACATCTCACAGCCATCAATTCTATATGTCCACAGCAAGGAGTGAACACTCTTCTCTGCCCAAGGCTACTTGTGGTACCATTTAAAAGCGACATGAGACTCAGTAAACTATTGATCGTCCCCAACCAAACTAATGAAGATTGGATAAAATACAAAACCAAACTGTGTGATTTGAGCTTCAGCTAGGGAAGAAGCTAAATGCTAGAGAGCCCAGGAATGTCAGCGTAGGGCCAGGGGATTACAGAGCCACCTTTCCTTCTTAGTTTATAGCATCCTCCCACCTGATCACAGCCTCACATATGCCATGGCAGAGCAAAACTATTTTTGGCACTTGCTCAGAACTTAACAGAACATATGCCAGCCATGCCATGTAAGTTGTGAACTGTCAGTCATTCTCTCTTTGCTTGGAAGAATGTGAAAACACCATTCAATTTTAGTGAGAGAAAAACTCAAAACAAAGATAAATTCTAAGCCTACCTGGCAGAGAGACCTGCCACTCTCGTGTAAGATTACTCTCTGCCTCAGCACTGAGACCGAGGAATATTGTAATCAGGAGGCCAGAAGTGGGCTGGTTTGGTGTCCCTCTCCAGTACTGGGCTCCTAGGGAAATATGTGATGTTTAAAGCAGTGACTTGATAGGATGTCTCAGGCTGTGGAGTCTAGGAAAATTAGAACAGGAAGAAATTTAAGAAATTATTTAAAAGAAATTGATGCCATTTCTCATTCATTACCATTTCTTGGAGTGGTGATGTTGATACTGGGAATAGAAAGAAGGGTCCACATATAAAACATTCAGGAAAAGAATTGGGAAACCTTAGTTACTAACTGAATATGGTCGACAAGAGTCAATTATGAGTGAGCTATGATTAATAGGAAGAATAAGGGGGTGTCTTATTCACACAATCTAAGGAATAAGGAAAGCAGTTGGTGCGTACAGGAGATGGAGCTATTGGTGGCAAGTTTGCATCTAGAACTGGGTATGATCATAGGAAACACAAAGAAAACCATTGAACAAGCAGTTAGAAATGCATGCACGAAGTCTGGAGGGAGGTTACAGCTGAAGATGTAAGTTATGCTTCAGAAGCAGTATCAGAAGCCTTGGGAGTAGGAACAATCTGTGCAAGAAGGCTGAGAGAGAAAAGCAGAAGGCAGAGAGCCTGGGGGATGCCCAGGGCAATGAAGCAGCAGCAGGAAGAGGAGCCACAAAAGGCCAGCAAAGAGTGCTTCCCTTGCTTAGTAGCATTCTGAAGGAATATCCATGTGCTGGTTTTCCCCAGGAGGAGCCAACATGAGCACAACCTCCTGGTTACCGAGGGAGAAATCATTCTTTCCTCCCCCTCTTCCTACTTTCTTTTTCTGTCTGGTATCAGGAGATGGGGGCCAATGAATGAGACCTGGTCCCTGCCCTTGAGCAACTCACAACCTAGCAGAGGCAGGGTTTTCTCTGGATTCTTTCTTTGGGTGCCAATGCTTTTCCCAGGAGCTGGCAGAGCAACTATTAAGAGAAATGACCTGTGTTCACTCAATTAACCAAAGAGCATTAATTGGATCCTTATTTTGAGCCAAGCACTGTGAAGGCATCAGAAAAATTAGAAAGCAAGAATTCTGCTGGCAAGGAGTCAGCAATCTTTGGAGATGAAGATTAACTTGAGTGAAATGAAGGGAAATGATGGAGACATCAACGGAGTGACAAGGCCTTGAAGACTAGAAATCACTGTGGACTGAAAAGACGTGACATTGTCATAGAGAAGTCTTGAGTGAAGGGAGAATATGGCTAGAGGAAGAGTGAGAAAGGGCATTGTAGCATGAAAGAAAGCAGGAGCCAGGGGCCAGGGCCATCCTAGTGATGGCAGAAGGCAAGGGAGACCTGGCCTAGGCTCGGTGGCCTGTTTTGGAGAAGAAAGCAGGCTAAGAACACTCAGAAGTGTTGCATTTGAAAGTGGATGAGTTGAGTAATGCTTATGGATGCTCTTGGCAGCCAAAGGTGAAGAAACAAGAGCTGAGGGGCTGGTGGCTACTCCCCAGCTGTGGGTAGCACTGCTCTCAGCATCCTGCTCACTTCATTTCCTGGCATCTATCCCTGTGCATGCCAGGGAGGCTCTTGGTGTACAGCATGTTCTGATCTCTCAGGGATGCTGAGCATGCCCCAACCCCTCACATACATGCTGGTGTGAACACCAGCTCATTGCCTGAGCTTCTCTGTCTTTGTCCCCAGTACCACAGGAACCAGTGAAGGCAGGACAGTTCAGAGAAGCTGGGAGTTGCCTATACTGAAACTACCCTTAGATTAAGCGTAGGAGTGCCTCTCTCTGTCCCCCAGTTCACAGAATTCTTCTCTTCTAAGTGTTAGCATTCACTTTGCCAAGAGGCACAGGCAGCCACAATCCCCTGTTACTTTTGTCCAAAGTTAGAGCTTTCCCCTTCACAGGTGTCCCAAACCAAAGTGGATCAAGTGATAGGAGAGCCACTCACCTACCTTACTTCTGGGAATGGTACCACTACTTACTTCTTCATAAATACCTGTTGACTTCTTGCTGTGCCTCAAGTCAGTCAAGCACCAGGACATATTTGTCTTCCTTTCCCAGGCCTGCATTCCTCTCCATCAGGCTTACATCCCTATCAGACAGTGCAGTGGTGTACCAGGGGATAGTTTGTCATTCAGGGAAGGGTAAGCTGCCAACAGAGTCAGTGGCGGGAAAGGTAGCACCTGCACCCAAGCTTGTTGACAGCTGGAACTGAGCATTAGGGAAAGTGAGTTTCCAGCACCGTCTGTGTCCTAGCACCTGGGGCAGTAAAGTGGGACGGGGATGTAACATAGAGCCAGGACCCTCTCCCTCCTGCCTCCCCAGCCCGTGTCCTCACTAATGCGATGCATCCCTCCCTTCTTTTGCAGAGAAGCCACGGATGAACAACATCCTGACATCAGCCACTGAGCCCTATGACCTGTCATTCTCCCGCTCCTTCCAGAACTTGGCCCACCTGCCCCCATCCTACGAGTCTGCAGTGAAGTCCCACCCCAGCAAGTACTCATCCCTAAAGCGGCTAAGTAAGTGTGGTTGTCCTGGGTCTACCTCTCAGCAATCATGACACCCTCCTGTGTCTCACTCTCTTGCCCTACACTTGAGGGACTGGTGTGGAGTCCCAAGAACAAAGAGTGAGGGTAGCACAGAAGAAGACAATCAACGAGTGCCTTGTTTTTGTTATATTGGGCCTAAGTTCATTCCCCATGGATAGAAGAGGCTGTGGCATGCCCAGGTCTGTGTGCCCACAGCTGGCATGCAGGAGAAAACCCTCCCCAGCCTTGTCCCACCTACCACCGTCAAAACCATGGGCTTCCTCACTCTCAAGGTCTTGGAGGAGAGGCTACCAATACCAGCACTTTTTGGGTTTCATCATGGAGACCTGGCTGTGGAAGGGCCCATAAACCACCCTCTCCATAACCCAGCCAACCCTGTCTTGAGAAGCTGAGGCTCCCCACTCCCACCACACACTCCATTTCATCACTTGAGTCCAGTTCATCCAGTTGTCTCAGCTCTGCATCTGAGTCTGGGGAGGCTCTGGGGACTGAGGGGTTGAAGACATTACAATGACTAAAAGGTACATGGTGGAAGAGATTTTCTTTCCTAGCTTTCCAGCCCTTGGAACTTCTCCCCTCATGTCCCCGAGTCTATTTTCATGACACCCAACTTCAGGCTGAGTATTTGCTTGAAGCTATACATTAACCTGCCATGATATAAGTTCAGCCCATGAGTTCATATCAGCCACCTAAAAGGTGGAATGGTACATGTCTATGGCCAAAAGTGGGAATCACCAATGATCCAAGGAATCAGATGTATGCCCAAGGTGAGAGAATATATGGCTCAGGAGGCAAAATCTACCCACTGGTTACCCTCTGGAAAAACTAAGGAGCCGTGAGCATTCCCATATTCTGCAGAGATATAAAAGTCTGTCTGTGGGAAGCCAAACAGGCTTATGTACATCCTGGGTAGGAGGTTCAAGAGTTCGGCAGGCCGTGTGATCTGGGGATGGCCACCTGGATGGCAACAAGGGCGGAGCATCTGCATGAGGTGCACCGTTACTCTGGCCTTCTCCCGCTGTGGGCACAGGGGAGGTATGTGTAGGCTGGATTCTGTGGGATGCCCATGTGTCGGCTTCCTAGGCATTGGCTCTTACTCCAGAGAAAGTGTTACTATGTTACTAAATTACCAGTTAAACATTTTCGTAAGTGCCTCTTGGGCTGGAGCATCTTTATTCTAGCAGGAGTCTGGTTCTGCAATCCACCTTTGGAGACAGGCCCCGATTCTCATGTAAAAACTGCTGGCTGCTCCCTGGGAGCCATCCTGTCTCAGGACATGTGTGGTGGCAGCAGGCCTGGAGCAGGAGTTCAGAGGCCAGGGCTTGCCTCCACTTAGCCATGAACTCCCTGGAGAGCTCCCAGAAGCCCCTTAGTCCCTGCACACATGAGGTGATGCTGGCCGAGGCAGTGGCATTGCCAGGGAACATACTCTCCAGCCAGCCCCCCACATGGCAGGTCTGAATCAGAACCTGCATTCAAGTTTAACAAGCCCCTAGGGACCCATCTGCATATTTATTGGAAAAGGACTCCCTCCACCCTCCACCTGTCTGGGCTGCAGTCCTGCCTTCAGTGTAGTGTCACCTTGTCACCCCAGCTGGTGTCTCTCTGTCTCTCCCCTGCAGCCGACAAGGAGGCTGATGAGTATTACATGAGGAGGAGGCATCTGCCAGACCTGGCTGCCCGTGGCACTCTCCCCCTCAATGTCATCCAGATGTCCCAGCAGAAGCCCTTGCCTCGAGAGAGGCCCCGGCGGCCCATCCGTGCCATGTCGCAGGACAGGGTGCTGTCCCCGGTGCGAGGCCTGCCAGATGAGTTCAGCGTGCCCTTTGACCGAATCCTGTCCGATGAGCAGCTGCTGTCCACCGAGCGCCTGCACTCCCAGGACCCACTGTTGTCCCCGGAGCGGACGGCCTTCCCCCAGCAGGCCCTGTCCAGGGCCCTCTCACACACAGATGTCTTTGTGTCCACACCCATGCTGGAACGCTACCGCATGACTAAGATGCACTCCCATCCCAGTGCCTCCAGTAACTCCTATGCCACGCTGGGCCAGAGCCAGACAGCGGCCAAGCGCCAGGCCTTCGCCTCGCGCAGACACAACACGGTGGAGCAGCTGCACTATATCCCCGGCCACCACACCTGCTACTCAGCCAGCAAGACCGAAGTGACCGTGTGACCACCTGGACAGGGCCAGGTACCTGGCAGAGCTGGGCAGGAACAGGAGGGGTCGGGAGCAGAGCTTCGAGCCCCGAGTCTCCCTTCCCTTGTCCCCTCTGGAGGAGGAGGGGGATGGGCTCTCTTTGTTCAGAAAGCCATACTCCCCGGAAGGATGCAACCTAGTGGCCTGGCAAAGCACACTCAAACTGGGACCACTCACTCTCGCAGGAGAGTCAAGGGGAGTGAGCAGAGGCCAGCCTCACCCCTGCCACCATCACCAACTCCCTTTCTGTTCCATGTCCTCTCTCCCCTTCTGGGGCTTAGCTGCAGGTCACTCAGCCAAGAGTCCCTGGCCTGACCCTGGTCTGAAGGTGCCTCGGGTTTGATCTGGCCAGCAGGTGCAGTCAGAGGGCTGGCAGAGCAGGCTACTCGGTCTCAATTATGTACCTAGAACCACATCATGGGAATCTTCTAGTGCCTAAAAACTGCCTGCTCACTCTTGCCCTTGGAGACAGGGAGCTGCTGAGTCCATAAGCACAACAATGATCTCTTCTGCCAGCTGGAGCTCTCTGGTCCCCACTGAGTGGCCCTTCTGCTGACCCCTTGAGGACCTCCCTGCCCCTCCCCCAAGCCATGGGGCAAGGAAGGGCTCTTTCCCTTTACCTCCCTCCCCATTGCTGGGAACCCTGCCCAGTTCCAGCTGGTGCCCCCACCATAAGGTCCCCTTGGCCCAACTTCTGGGGGACTTTGCCCCTCCCCTAGCCCTAGGTGTTGTACCCCTGAGTTCCCCCAGGGCTTAGCTCTGGCCTTCCTGGAAGAGAATACCAAGGAGGAGCAAGAACTTTTGGGACACCCTCCCTGGCAACCTGATTATCTCCATACTTCCTCCAGGCCTCTAGGTCTGAAGGATGACAACCTGCCACTCAGGCCTACCTTCCCCTCCCCTACTCCGCTCCCTAGAAGCATCTGCCCATGGCCAGAGAGCTGCAGGTAGGGAGGCCACTGTGATGCCCTAAGTCTCAGGGGCTCACCATTCCCATCATCCAGGGCTCCACCTGCCTCCCACCATGCACACTAGGCAGGATGGAGGCAGAGTTTTCTAAAGAGGGGCAGCTCAGCCCTCAGTCCCGAGGGCCCGAGGCAGCTGTCCCGCACCATGTGCACTCCTCTCTCCCCATCACTGCCCACCTCCCTGACTCTTTCTTGGAATAGAAATTGCTCTCTCTGCCTGTTTCCCCTTTCCCCACCTCCAATCCTCCTGCAGCTCCATTATTCTCTGCTTCAGAACAGTGGCTCTTCTGGATCACAGGGACAGAGACCCTTTAGCAAATGCAAATAATGGTACTCCAAGCTACTGGTCTGGGGGCTAACTGATAAGCCCCCTAGTCTGTGTTCTGCAGGGGATACTAGGGCACCAGGCGGATGAATTCCCTCAGTTCTGTTGGGGGACAGCCCCTTCCTTGCCTCCAAGGGGGTAGAGGGTGAGGATCCAGAACGACAGCATATGATAGCCTCGTGAAAAGTGGATAGTGAGCTAATACTCCTTCAAGACCAGAGCCAGGTGGGGAGAGAAGAGGGTCCCCCATTCTCAGGGCCAGGGCACCTTCCTGGGCTGGGACTGGGGGAATCAGCTCCAAACTAATGGGTGGAGATTAATACTAAAAAGGTGACTTGCCAAAGTCAGACTCTGGAAACAATGACCTTGAACTGGGATTTTAGATTCCCCCACTTCTGCATATACTATGTATGGCCCTTTAAAAGGGAGGTGGGGATGGGGCAGGGAGAACTCCCCACTGTCTGGGAATTTTTAATCTAACCAAGTTCACAATCCATAGAGAAATCAATTGACTGATTTCTCTTATTTATTTCAAGAATTCCAAAGCTCTTGTCCCTCCCTTTCCCACTAAAAGACTCACCATCCCATAATCATGAGGGTATTAAGGTTCAGGGTGATGAACACAGCCCTCAGCTTCCCTGCTGAGGTGTTGTCACTGGTACTCTGTGGCTGTGAGGACAAGGATAACTCTGTCCACTTTCCTCCCTTACAGACACATAAACCCTCTCAAGGGCTGGTCCCTAGGGGTTTATGAGAGTTTGTTTTAGAGGGATGGCTGAGGGGGTTGAGCTGGAAGATATCAACCTAAATAGAACAACTGGCTGCTTCCAAAAACAAAGGTGTGTCTCTCACAGCTGGTCCCCTAAACCCACTACCCTCAAATCCAGCCCTTGGCTCATCCTCTTGAAAGCTGCCTAGTGGTGCAGAGGGGAAAGGACGTGGGTGGACGAGAATGCCCTCCCCCCGGGTCTAGACACACATGTGCTCCAAACCAGAAACCTGATCTCATCCTTCTCATTTTGTATGAGAAGCACCTTCTTGGAACCAAGTTCTCCAGCCCTCAGGATGCACTTCCCCTAGGTCCTGTCCTTCTGTCTCAGGGGTTATTTAATAGGTTGATTGCAAAACGTTTCTCATCCCAGCCTTACTGCCATCCAGTATAAAACCTCTGGTGTCAGTCAGATCACAAAATTCTACCTGAACCCTTTTAAAAAATGATTTTTCTGCTTCACCATTGGGTCTAGAAGGACAGAGGGAGGAAGGGAAGGAAGAGAAAGAGAGAAGTCCACAAACTTGTTCCATTTCAGTCTCTTATTTCAAAATCTATAAAATTAAGTATTAGTACACAGAAATATCATTTATTCAGCCAGCCCACCCACGTTTGTAGGATGAGCAAAAACACATTACTAGGCAAGTACACATCACAGGTAAGAGAGGGTTCAGGGATTGGAATGCAGATTTCATGACTTCCAGCCCCACCAGGCCTTTCTCCACAATGGAAGTCCCCCTCCCCCAGCAAGGGAAGCTGAAAGTTCAAAGTGTTCCTGGGTTTGTTCTTTGTGTGAGTCTCCATTGATCTGATTGGAATAAACTGGGATGTGCCCAGGTTCTTTTCTGCCATAAAGGTTCCTGCTGGTCTCCTTGGCCTTTGATGACAGCAAAGCTCCCACAATCCCTCATGCCCTTCCACCCCTCCTGTTGTTCCTCCAGCTAACTCTTGATTCCATGAGTTCATAAGTCACAAAGGCTTTCCCAAGAATTCTTTTAACCCCAAAACTAGGCTTGCCAGTGTCTTGGGAGATGAGTTTTCCTTCTACGAAATTCTGATCCTTCCCTTAATTCAAATTTCTCCTTCCTTTTTTCCAGTCTCCCACCCCAAATCTCTTGTCATAACCTCAAGTCTTTTATGCCAGTTCAGTCTTTCCTCCCTCTCATCTCCCTGGCCTTGCCCTCCTCCTCAAGTTACCTTTCTCTGTCCCTAATTTATTTTCCTTGGTCTTGCTATATTCTTCCAGTTGTAACACTTAGAGCTTTGAATGAAAACATTCAAAGAAAATGACATTCTTTAGGTCTTCTGTTTGCCTCATTGGTTTATCCTTCACCTCCTGCCCATAGGAGATGATATCAGAGTGGGGGACCACTCTGATCTCCTGGAGGGAAGAAAGAGAAGCTGCCCTGCCAGAGATATCACACTTCAAAGGTCAGCTTTGGTTCTTACAGCTGGCAATTCCCCAACCTCCTGCCCAGCCTGCCACTAGCCCAGAGGCTCCAACTCTGGCCAAAGATTCATATCATTGAGGGCTCTCGGCCACTGTTTGACCTCATACCTGTCCTGCTTGTGTGTGTCACAGATCTCCCTTTGTCCTAAAACACTGGATAGCCTCATGGCTCTCCAAGTGTGGAGAAATATCCATTCCAATAACCCTGCCACCAAACGATCCATTTTCTTCAGAGATACCTTGTCTGCCACCAGCCTTTCATCCTCAGATTCCACCCACAGGTAACTGTGGACTTGACCCAAGGAATTCTGAAAGGGCTGCTGATGACCTGGACCCTTGAAAGCACCTGCTCTGGGAAGCATTGACATGTTACCTCCCACATACATTCCTCCACCACATTCCCAAACCAGGAAAACATTGCTCTGAAGTATTTTCAAGGAAGCTTGTTGTGTTTTAATGAAGTATTTTTCAGGGTTCAAATGTTATTTTTTATAAATACAGCATTTTAATGACAGATTTGATGTGAAATATTGGTCTTCCTGAGCTCTAGATTTGGTTTCAGAAGGATGCACATGGAAGGAGGAAAAAGCAGAGGGTAAAGCTCTGAGATACACAAGTTTTGCCCTAGCTCTGTCTTCATCTCATCAGGGGACTGAGGATGAGTCACAGTCTCACTGAGTGCCTCCGTTTCCTGTAAAATGAGGGGCTTTGACTAGATGAGCTCTGAAGTATCATCTGGCTCTTACATGCTAGGGCTTTCATTAATCATTGGCCCCGCCTCCTTTCTTCACATTCCTTCCCCACTTTAACTGAGCTGCATGCCTCCCATTAAGGCTGCCCCATGGTAACATCCTTAGATGCCCTAGACAGCCACCAGACTCCTCGCCAGACCCCGGGATAGGCCCCATGGTCCTGGCCACCTAGGGATGCTCTTATATCTGAAGGTGTAAGAGCTTACTCATTACATAGGTTACCAACCACTCATCATGGAAGTCCTCACACACAGGCACACCTAAATCATTCAGGGTGTTGGGTCACTGGGAAATTCTGAATTTGAAGTTTTCATCTTATGTAGCCCTTAAAGCTAGAGGGAGGGAGTTCCGATTTCAGAGAGGGCATGGGCTGGAGGAGAAAGGTCCCGAGGTCAGCCTACGAAGGCATCAAGTTTGTATGTGAGAGCAGTTGGAAATACATTCCAAGCCACAGAGGAGAATTCATGGCAGAGGCTCTGTGGGGCAATGGATGTTGTATCCCACTCCAGAACCTGGGTCCTGAAGACTGAGTCTGGACACTGGGCTCCATTCCAGCTGGAGGAAGGGGAAGCATCACCCACTAAGCTGCCAGGAGTTGGGCCTTCACCCCATCCTAGTACATTTCTAGTCCCTCCCTGGGACACCATCGTCCTCCCAGTGAAAGCTTGTGAAGCAAGAAGTGAGAGTACAAGTCAGTATCATCAAACCCATCCTGTAAATCAGCAAACACATCAACCTGCATCAGTCAGAGAAATGACATTACATGTTTCCTTAATGCCCTCCTTGCTGAGGGAGAGGAAGACCCCCGCTCAACTGTGCTGCCCACTCATGCTGTGACTCTTGAATGCCACTCCATGGGAGGACTCATTCATTTGCTTCATAGTGGCAAATATTCCTCTAGTTCTATAACTCAACTAGAAATTTTGTAGTAAAGAATTCTCGAGATTCTCTAATAAAAAGCAATTCTTACTGTAATA